GCAGACCACTACACCACGAAGGCACGCTAAGAAGAAGGGAGAAATACCATACATACTCCCCCTTTTTAAGGGCAACTGGGGATTAGGGTCCCAATCGCCAAGTCCTGGTAGCGGAGAATCGTCATCCACCACCTTTTTTAGTTCAGGCGCCACTTTTAGAGTGATTAGGTTATTTTTAAAACAGAAATGATGAAAAATGAGCAACTCCTTCGCCGGGAATCGAACGACGGACATCTGGAATACGTACCCAGAGTGCAGGACACTGCACCACGAAGGCACGCTAAGAAGGCGGGAGAAATATCTCATAAAGTAAACGCTTTTGATGTCAGTCGAGTAATGTGGTTACTAAATTAAGCAGTAAAAGCTTTTGGTGCGCTCGATTATATGAAAAGAAATTTTGTTACTGTCATATATGATAATCTGTCTCGGCATTGGAATGGCTGTTCAACAGAACAGAATATGTCTCTGGTATATTAATCACAAGAGGTCCGCATTTAACATTACACTTTCATTTTCTATACAAGCTTGGATAACCTAAAACAATGCATCACAACAACTGCTGCAGCTGTTGACATAAACATGAAGCGTATTTGGGATGAACTTGATTATCGCATTGATATCTTCGTGTTAGAAGCGGCTCACATAATGGACATAACTTAGCCATGTAAACTTCAAGACATACTCTTAAAAGTAAGCATTTCAGCAGTACTGTAAAAGTGCTTGTTTGTATTAAACTTTGAAGAGGCTTACTTTTTTAGCTTAACCGTCTATAAGCGTGCCCATAAATAAAGAAATGGTACTTCTCGACTGTTTTTGTATCCATTTATGCATACATATACCTCAAAGCTGCAAAACATAAACATATTTTGATAAAAAATTCCACCTTCTTTACCGACATTACTTTCATATCACACCTCGCATTACATTACTTTTGAAGTTTTCAGAGAAAGAACTTCACAACCATCAAAATGTAGAGCACATCATCCGTAGGCAAGTCACGTTATACTTAATTATTCATTTTCCTTTGTTATTCTACTGCCTAATGAACTTTTAAGTGGTGATAAGAAAGAAGAAAAGGAACTCCAATTTGCAAGTGTGAAAGACGCCTGAGAGCTAGCCGATTTACACTTCTAGTTTTAAATATCAGCGGCTTCATATTCACTTGCACATAGCGGCAAATTTTTAAGATTCATTTTTCTTATTAGTAATAGCTGAATATTTGTTTTCTTTATTAGATGAGTGGACAATTTATCTCCCTGGGTTTATCTTCCTGGATATATATATATTTTGGATATAAAAATACTGTCTTTTGCAACAGTGTTAATTGTAGACATAGAACCGGCGAATTAACAGTTTGAGATGGAAACAAGAATTATGCGTATTCTCTGATACTAATAACATTGAAATACCTAACTATTCCCTGCGTAAAATTCAAATGTTCTAGGCGGTAAGACTACACATGAAAATTAAAGGACATTGGCAGAAATAAAATTTATGGAAAAAGGATAAAAAATAATTTGTATGAAAGCATTATTTAACATAAATTACCATGTTTTCCAGTACATTAATCTCAAAACACACTATTTACAAACTTTGAGAGGTACACCACATGCCTTCCTCGTATGGAATATTAAATTATACGCACTTTTTGCTGCATTTTACTTCGACTTATTTCCTCAAATTTCATTAGAGATTTATTTCTCATTCAATTAATTCTGTTCTCAGTTCGCGCCAAGGCAAAAATACATAAAATTTCAAAATATCTACATTAAAAATTGAAAGTTATAAAAAAAACATGAAACACCAAATATAGTTAAAACAAGCAAAAATTTTTTTTACAATTAAAATTACAGTTTCTGCACAAAAACAAGCTATTCTGCCAGCCGGCAACACAAGGCAGATTTTTCGGCCCACAAAAATGAAAATTTAATTTTGGTGCCACTCAGCAAAAAGGTACTGAAGGTGCAGAAACTGAGTTCACTATTCTGCTAAGTTTCAAATGTAAACAAATATGGCTGCTATGGTAAACAAAAATTAGGCTTAACCGCACTTAAGTAGCGTTTAAATTGTTGATAATTCTACAATTATTGCTTGCAGATTAACTAAAAGCATAAAAACCTTAACCGGGAGATAAGAAAAACATAATTTAATCATTTTTAAAACAAAAACTGCGCAGTTTACCAAAAATAAAAAAACTGACCTCACTGAGCAGAGTAACAGAGTGGGTGTATATATATATATTTATATAATTTTTATGCCGAAAATTGGAAACTAAAAAGGGAGGTGCGACAAGTACATAGCTATAGCAAGTCCTTTATACAAAATTTCAAACTTTTTGATGCTTACTCATTTTTGAGAAAATGCGAGATACATAGATACATACTAACGTACGTACATACAGACGCCCACGAAAAAAATCTCTTCTGAATCCTTTTTAAATCCAGTTTTATAATTGCAGCCCCTTATTGGGAAAAAAAGAGTCCTTTACTCTGTCCTTACATATAGATGTCACGCAAAAACATCGTTAAATTGCATTCGATAGCGGTAAAAATGGATATTTTCTTTGAAATATGATACCCGGAATTTTTCGAGATTACAATGCTTTCTTTACTTCGTACAAGGAAGTAAATTAATAAAAAAAAATCGCCTGCATTTTGCAATCTTTTTTTAATATGGTGTATAGTAATATTTGACAGAAAAGCTAACCGCAGACACTGATTTCATAGAATTTGTCAAATTCTTCATCAGGTCTTGTGGAATTGCATGTTATTCTTATGAAAGAGCACTTTTTATATGCTTGATGGCCGGGGGAGATATTAACTGCTCTGCAGTTGGGTGGTCTAATGCCTCCGTACTTGTTTAGTTGGATTCAAGTCTGATGGGAAAACTGATCAGTTTTTTCAAGTGACATCTTCTGTTTCTAAGCGTTTTGACACTATAGATGCATGATCCGGACGAGAATTGAAATCCATTAGCAAGACATTGTGGCCAACATCAAGCCTAAGCAGCTTCATACGAGTTTCCATGATCTCGTCACCATATCTTTGACCGGTTACAGAATCTCCATCAAAGATCTGCAGCTCAGCTTTTCTGACAATTCCATTCCAAACTATGAAACCACTTCTTTAGAAACAGGAGCTTTCTTGTGCAAGTTATGTGTTCCTCCTTCCCTGCAGATCAAAACATGTCTCGAAGTAGGGTTCGAGCTATATCTGAGCTCATCAGAGGAGAATACATGGTCTACTTCTTGATTCCATTGGATATGAAGACAGCACCACTTTAAACGGGTTCCTTTGGAAGATGGTGTGAGTGAGATACAAACTATTGATTTTCTTGCATAATTGCCCAACTCCGTGAAGTTTCCGTGAAATAGTAAGACGGCAAATTTGAGTTTCTGATTACGCTTGGAAATTCTAAAAGGAACTCCTTTGTAGTCTCTTCAGCCTTTTTTCGAACCTAGCCAAAAGAAAAGGGTCTTCAAATGTAGTTGTTGCTCTCGGCCACCCTAAATAAGGCTGTTTACTGACTGAGTCTTTTGTTTAAAAGGCGGTTCCAAATTCTTGATATGATAATTTGGAGAATATCCAGTCTTAGGTAACTACTGCTCGTGTTTGACTCTTTTCAAGTCTACTAATAAACGACTCCTTTTGCCCTCCACTTAAATGATTCTTTTGAATTATAACTAATTAATACTTACCACTCTCAAAAATTACACTGGATTTAAACAATATCAATAAAACGAATTTTATCATGCATCCCTTGTGCAACACGCTGTCAGTCTCCTAATTTGTATATTCCATACTCCAACGTACTCGCGTAAGTCCAATTTCAGTCCAGTTGCAGAATATATATATATATATATAATGAAGAATCTGTCTGTGTTTTTCGTGCAGGCTGAGCGTAAGCTAATAGATCCAGGGCTACGAAATTATTTAGTACATGGCGTGCATCTAGACAAGAGCCAGTGCACCTCTAAACGATTTTTTTTTTTTCAAAATTCAAATGAGATTTTTTTTAGTCCAAAGGGCAATTAGCCCAGAAAGACTATTAATTTCGTTTCAGCATTTTCCGTTGATTCATTTTTTGCGTTGTTTCACTTTTCAAATTGTCGCCACCAAATATTATCGCCCTGTATTTTATTTAAAGAAATTAAATAATGAAGAATCTATAAATATATGCATGTTTCTCTCATTGTGATAAAACAACGGTATCTAGAGCCATCAAATTTTGAATAATGTAATCTTTCACCAAATATGGGCATCTGGTAGCCCTAATTTGTAATTTGTTTTATTATGGATTTCATACTTTGTAAAACTTTAACGAATTTTTGATTAACAAACTCAAGAATTTAAAAGTTAGCAATGGCAACATTGTACAAAAAAGCATTTTTATCTCCAGCACACGGAACTGTGTATCGGAAATTCTAAAGATATGTTCATTTTAAAATTATTTTGTGACATTGCCGTTGAACTGAATTTCATGGTTTCAGTGCGAAGAACATGGTATTTAATAAAAAAAAGGCAGCACACAAAACGTCAAAAAAAAAAAAAAAAAAAAAAAAAAAAAAAAAAAAAACGCCCTTTTGGACGTAATTTAAAATCTGAAAACTTTCAGATTTCTATTTTTTTCTTTCTTTTATTTTTATTTTATGCTTTTTAATGAAATCGCATCAAATCGATAATTCTCTCTCATTAGATCAGCAACAATGGCAGGCAGCCATTGTTGCTGTTGCCATTGTTACTAATATCAGCACTGTTGCCACTCGGAAAAATGAGGCCGATATTCTCTGCAGTTTTTAAATTTAATGTTTCTCTTGGATACTGGACGTTTGTCGAGAGAAGGCAACGGGAAGTTGGTTAATTTATTTATTGGGATAATTAATATTTGTATTAAAGGGTATTCCTTACTTCATTGTAAATTTTTTATATGTAATACATTTTATTGAAATTTGCGGGTTTATTTTTGTAAATTTGTTCTGAAGAGTAAAATTCTGCGCAGTTTTTAAATTTAATGTTTGGTGTTCCCTTTAGGTATTTTTCCGGTACAGAAGCCAATAAATCATTACGGTTAAAAGCCAGAAGGCTGGCCGAGTAGCGGATAGTTATAAATAGTTGCACTATTGTTTGAAAACTTCAATCGGTGAGGGATTTGTTTTTTTCAGATTATCCTTTAATTTTTACAAGCAGTGTATTTGTATGCCGGTTATGTATATTAAAGGCTTTGTATGTTATGACACATTTTGAAAATGCTAATGTAAGTCTCGGAGGTGAAATCTTTGCATAACTGTTTATTCCTAGGTTTCTTAATATCTACACAGAAAATTACTCGCGGAAATATTATTATAACTCCTTCGCCATGAAATTTTCTAGGAATTTCACTCGCGCTCTCTCCTTGAAACAAAAACTGCCTAATTACACGCAAAAGTTTAGGACTAAATATTTTGACAATATTAGCAAATGTGCCAAATTAACAATATTTAGTACTACATCTCAACTTGGTTCCTAAAATACCGTTTCCTTACTGATAGAAAAGGGATAACTCAAAAGAAATTTATTCTTGAGGAACAAATGGTGAAATCCATAATGTATGAAAATGTAATGTATAGACTTCTGAACAGATTCATTGCATTAGGTTTGAAAATGTTCAATTGAATAATTAGTTCCTATAAAGAGACTATAAAGAGACGTCGCCAATCAGTTTCGAGCAAGGAAACGTACCGAGTTTCAGTCACATATCTCATTTACCAGATGTGGTACCTGAAGACTATTACTCTCGTCAAATATCACCTTATTTGTTTAAATTGTTTAAAAATATATGTGCTGGACTTTTAGAATAATTTAATATACGAAGTTTCAGTATAATATTTTATCTTATGTTTATACTTATACTTAGTTTATAGAAATATTACTTCCATCAACTATGAATGCCATCATGAAAATTTTTAAAAAATAGATATAAAATATATAATAATCAAGTAAATTAAGATATAACACAAAAATTTACAAATAGGAAACCTCGCAATGTATTTAAAAATTTATTTTGAATACTTGAAGTATTTTTTTTAATTTTATATGTTTCAGAAAGCTTGGGAATATCTTAAACAGAAAACTTGGGAATATGTAAGATAATGGGAAATCTTTTCTCACCAAAATCTCTCGTAAGTAATTTATTACGTATACGTTTTTAGTGTAATTGCATTCAAAAGTATTCTAATTGCAGTTTACAGAAAAATTAACCTTAGCACAGTTCCTTAGAAGCAACATGTATTTTCACCATTTGCTAATTAAAAAGGTAAAAAAAGTATTATATTGAATGAAATCGTATATTTTATTTCTCCTGGCTAAAAACGCAAGCTGGAGTGATATTTTCGTTACCTCCCATTTATAATCTGAATAAAATCCAATTTCTCTTGAAAGGTTTTCCACAAAGGCATCTCTTTCCTTTAGACAATAGCTTTTTGTGATTTATATAATCTATTACACAATCAAGTAGGCAAAATTGTAATATCTAAGCATTTACTGTCCAGGAGTGGCTGAGCAGCTGAATGCTAGTAGTTACACATAGTTCAAATCCTGGAAAATGGGCTGTCTGCATGGCGTTTGTCTTGCCTTTCCCGATGCGTACCGTATATACGAGCCTGTTTCTTTAAAAAGGTCCTTTACGAAGGCATTCCTCTCTTTAGGTGGATAGGCTTAATATTCTTTCTCATAATCTAACAAATACAAATCCGATCCTTTACTTGATGGCTTTTAAATCACGTTTTTTTACTTGGGTACTAATATAGTGGTGTCTAAAGATCTTGACTTGCCAGTAAATGTTTAACGTAGAAATGTGTAGTAAAACTAAATTAAGATATTTATTTAGAATTGACGACTGATAAACCATCAGTCAAGGGTCATCAAAAGCGTTTGTCATTCATCAGAATCTATGAATGATAAAGCGTTACTAAGCTGCAATATGGCTTAGTATCATAGAATTACATTGTAATTTTAAAGAACAGCTGACATACAAAATCACTATTACAATATCCATAACAAATATGCTTAACATTAATGTTTTTGAAATTTCGACAAGGATCGCTTCTGTTATACTAACTAAAGATAGCATTTAAATTTATTTATTGCTTGGACAATAGTACCGTTGTTTTACCCCCGGGACGTTTCAACTAAGCAAATACCGCTATCCTCGGCTATAGCGGCTCTACGTTCACCATCTGGACGTCTACTATCCCTTCTTATACGCGTATTCTCTGTTTACGTGCAGACAAGTTTGCACTGAAAAAAAGAAATAAGGAACAGGTAAATCAAAGCAAGAGCTATCCGCTGGTATTAAAATTTAATTTAATTTCTGAAAATACATCGGACCAAAATATTCTAAATGTATCTCTTTTTGAAATATTTTAAAAGAATAAACTTTTTTATTACAGCGGCGTTACTACGTACTCAGAACTTCCGGAGTTCTTGATGACATTTTTATCACTTTCTCATTATTGTTCTTCATTTAGGTGTCTATCATGTATAAGGTAGAAAGCACATTTCCCATTAGAAAACCAAAACGCGATTTACCCTATAAACGGGATAAATAATGCGAGACAGAAAAAGCATTTATTACCAGCCATAGAATGCCACTGGAATACAAAATGAGAACTTTCTGTTTTCCCCAAAGACTTCGCTTCTTCTCCCCCACCTCGGATTTTCACTTATTTTATTATGTTCTCAACAAAAGAAGTCAAATAACGCGAGTAAAATATCCTCATATATATTTTGAGAAACAAAGTTTAGGTTAAATATAATGTTAGAAGTTAATATAAATATCTTTTTTTAAATATATATTTTTTATTTGTTTGTATGCATGTCATCATTTATTTGTGTCACAAACCATTTACGATAACCTTTTACACCTTTCTCGTATAATTTATATGTTTAAGTTGCGCATTAGATGTTCAATTGGTTCATTTAGGAATTGAAATTCTGAGTAGATAAAACTAAAATTCGAAAAATAGCTCCAGTTACACATGAGATGTCGCCTGTGTCTAATGACATTTAATGATATCGGGTGAAATCTAAAATTTAGCTTATTAACGCTGTAGGGGTTTATTTTACTTTACTAATAGTTATTTTTATTTTTGAACATACTTTCCTTTACTTCCTTGTTTCCTACGTACGATTCCCCACCAGAACGTGTTTTCAGGATAACGTTTTGTGTAAATGAGGTAGAAAGCAATATTTAAGTTGAAGTCTCGGTCACTTCACCAGAACAGCTTAGAAGTTCTTAGTTGAGCGTGTTCTGCCTTCTGGCCAAGTCGTTGCTTTAAGCCTAATATTACTACAGTCGGCTGTATTGCTACGTGCTTGCTTTTACTCGTCGGTGATCTTTAATATGGGCCAACTCTGTTAGTTATTTCTGCGCAGCTTCGGGTGCTTTGATTTTAGTTAGTATTAGATTAGTTTCTTATTCTTTGTATCTTCAGTTAAAGCCCAAGTGGTGGCTTACTGTAAGCCCGAGACGAGGCATCTGTTTATCATTTTGAGTTGGAATAAAGAGTAACTTAACCTTCCTTTGGACTTGTTATTGAAGCATTAGAATTAAACGATTATTCGCTACACAGTTTTTAAAGATTCTACCTACCAAGGACTACAAATATAACTAGAATATTACAACGCTTCTAAGCGAAAGCTTTCCTTGGTCTTATTATTTCAGATTCGATAAAATCTCATCTGAAATAAATAGAAGCTATTGCCAAAGGATAACTGACAAGATCTTTCTTTTATCTTCAGTGTTATGAAAAAGCATTGCTTAATTAATGCGGAGGTAGTTAATCGTTAAAAATGTTATTTTATTTGCACTCCTTATAAATGTGTTCTCTATATATGTAAATGTATTTTCTTGAACTAGAATTTGAAAAAATAAAGAGGGTTTCTACTTCATAAACGATAAAATTGATTGTAAAATTTCTAATTTGTGTCAGCCATCATCTTCATCTAAAATAAATCGAACGCATGAATTGGAAATTTGTAGTAACATGTAAAATGCAAACCTACGGGGTAATTATAAGGCCCTGACCCACTAACAAGCAAAATGTACAAAAAGCAATAAATCTATTGCAACATTTGCAGAATAAGTGCAGAAAGGACACATTTCTGCTGAACACCAAATAAAATACATTCCATGATTACAGTCAACTTAACAATGCCGCAAAAATTTCCAATACAAATATCAAAACTTTACGACAGAATAAAGCATAATTTTTTGAGGCGTAATGTGTAGAACAAAAAGTAAGAATGATATCGGTTTTCGAAACATGAAGGGACATCGCAGCTGAAATAATAGAAGATGAGATGAAAATAAACTAAAATATGACTCTAAAGAGGAATACAAACTGCTAATTACAGGTTCAGATTGCAAATGTTTCAAACGTCCGCATGTTTTATAAAAGACAGTTAGAGAAGATACAGTCAATGAAATACATAGTAACGCTGCTACGCATATCAAGTTAGATATTTAGTGCATCTCTATTTAAAACAGTGTGCTGAAATTATGCCGGCAAACCCAGTATTTTACGTGTACCCAGAATCAGAAAATCATCAGCGTTAAATCTGGAAAATGCACGAGAGTAGAAAATGATGAGAGATGACACAATTATCGATAGGATTTTGAAGATGTTTCACTCTGGTGACCATCTATGGTGAGACATGCTTTGTACAATAATGCTTTGTACAATCCCCTCGAACTGATTTTCTTCAATGATTTTACTTGCGATATTGTCCCTGCCATGATTTCGGCTGACACGTATTACGTGGTATATATGACTGCATCCGTGACTATAGCCCAAACACGTCACTGCAGCATTGATAGAGAACAAATTAAGAGGTGATAGTTTTAAGTCTCTTCATTTGTTCTCTCTCATCCTCCCCGTTTTTAGCCCCTTGAAAAAAGCACACAAGAAAAGTTGATGTGCTAAACACGAATAGGCAAGCACCCAAAATTTGAGGCAGTTCCATATTATTTGCCTTCGCTAACCAATTAAAGTATCTGTATGGAAGTACTCTTCTTCAGTAAAGGTGAACGTATAAGTTTGTTTTAACGAATAGCAAAAACATATAAAAGTATCATTTCGGCCTTTGTAGTTTATTCCCTGAATTCTGCCCGATAAATTAGCGTAGCCTAACAGGAAAACACATAAAAAAGAGGATAGAATATAACATTTTAATGAATATAATGACGGAAATAAACTTGTGCAAAAGTTATACAAGAATACGTTTTTAAAATATTTGTCTGTTAATATTTAATGCAACAAAGCTGAAAAATTTTCTGTCCATAAAAAAGGTGTCTCGATTTTTTGTGTGACATCTTACAGCTTGATATGAATTGAGCTTGGTATCACGCAAACTATAATAGCTTGTACTCGTATAAAGTGCGCTTTTGGTCAGTGAGATACAGAAGTCATGAACTTTCCTACCTTAAATTTTGTAACGCATGTCGAAGTCTAATGCTCACAGAATATATAAGTATTGGATTGTCAGACTGGGAGGCAATCAGAGATGATAATTTCTGCCTCACACGAGAGCTTTCAACATTTGACACTCACGCAAAATAAAAAAGTGCTATTATAAATGTGTGTAAAATCTATGCTTTTGCACCATCCTGTCCTATTAAACCTTTTCCTTTCAAAGCAAAGTATTTCGGTGGTTACATTATTTGCTTTTATAAACGAGCGGACAAGAAAGCATAGGACATGGGCAATCAGTCAGTATCTTAGAATGACATCTATAGCCATTCACTGAAAACGTACAAACTCAGTTCCTATTTTATTCTAAAGCATTCAAAGGTCTAATAGAAATACAGTACAATATACTTAATCTCTGTAGAATTCGAGCATAAACCATGTAATTTCCAAAATTATGTAATTTATCCTATTTCACTGTTTAGTACATACGATAACTTTCATTTTTAGCATACTATTATTCCTAGTGTATAGTATATAATTTAAGCATCCAAATCTGACCTGGCATTCTTAACACAAACCTATCAGTAAGACAACTGATTCTGCACAGCAGTACTTCAATTAATGATTTTGACTCCAAGCAATTACCCGGCTGTTGGTACTGCAAGAACTTCTAAATCTAATAGCTTTTGCCATAGAATACTGGACTAGCC